TGGTGCCTAAAACCAGCGCCTTAGACCACTCGGCCATCTCGCCGTGGTGTAGTAGTAGGTCTACTAGTATTAACCCAGACTGTTTCTTTTGTGATCTCTGAATGAAGATATTAGCGTTGGAATAGGCAGAGATGAAATGTTGTAGAAATGATTAGGGAGCAATTGAGGAGTGGTTTAGATTCATGATAACACCGATGTGTACACCGATAACAAAGTCGATCCTGCAAGAGAAACGAGGTGGCGATTGCTACAGTAAGCGACTGAACAAGGACAGCACATGGGTTCGTAAACAAGAGGAATCTTTCGTGAGATTCATCGAAGTGATGAATCGATTCAGACGCAAGAATTCTGCACAAAACACACACAAAAGGTGCGTGCATTGTTGGGTAATTCACCTGCTGAGATTTGTTAATTTTGATTGTGCGATTGTATTGTTGGCTGTGAGTGTTACTAATTCGATTAGCACAGCGATTCGTATTTGTAAGTGTCAGATTGGTCAGAGATTTGTTCATTATACTGAAATAGGAGAATTTTAAAGAGAAAACTTGAGAAATTTAAGTGAAAATATGAAAATCACGCTTTTTGAGGGCAGCTTTTTTTGTGGAATTCGAAAATTTTGCGTTGAAATCTGCGAGGAAATTGGTTTTTTTCAGTGATAAAAGTATCTGATGTTCGTCATATTCGTGTGATTGAAGTTCACAAATGAGAATCTTACGTAGGAATTCAATTTGCGTGAAAAATCCTCTCGAATTTTTGAAAATTTTCGAAAAACTGAATTGTTTTCTTTTTTTTTTGCCTAATCGGCAGCACTATCAGGCCGGTTTCATTGTCATCGTGTTCGACGGAATGGAGTGAGTTGAACCTTTCGAAAGCGAATGTGGACGCAGTGCTGAGTGCGTGGCGTGACTTTTATGTGCCGGTCGTCTGCTCTCCGGAGAACAATGCGCGCTATCCGGCGGAAATGTTTCTGTCGATCGAATTCGTGAATTGGCTAGTGACACACGTGCACGATTTGGCCAGTCGAAAGGCTGCGGTAGAGTTCGGGAATGAATTGGTGCGGTTGGATCGCATTCGAATTCTTCAATCAGGTGGGTCAGTCTGATGTGATGCGAACGAATCGCGGTTTGGTTTTGGTGTTGTGCAATTATCCTAGAATATTGCAATTTTGATCGGTTGTTATGGATGTCGAGTTTTAATAAATCTGCTGACATTAGGAAGTTTCGAATGCTTGTTGTCATCGAAAAATTCTTACGATTAGCTGGAATAGAAATGTTTTTCCTTCGATGAGATCATTTTTCAATATGTTTGATTGCATTTAATTTCTGAGTTCGAAATTCACCTCAGTTTTCACATGAAGTTATGTTATAAGAAGCGAAAATATGGAATTATGAATGGTATTATGAATGTTAAGAGATAATCAATCAGTCATAAGTTGTGGATTCTCTTCATGAAGTTATAGAATACGTATGGGTGGTTGAAAACTTTCCAATGGATCTTACAATTCAATTCAGAATTGTGCGGAAAATTTCAAAATCCTAGCTGTGGAAAACAAAATTCAATTGTGATTTCTTTTTTTTTTTGAAAAAAAAAAGTTGTAAATTTGAGGTGATCGAGAGAACGATGAAGTGGATTCGTGTAAATCGAGCGATTGTCGATCACGGGAATTTCGTTATGGTTTTGTGTTGTGTTATTTTGTTGATGAACACACACAAGATGAGACAAATTGGTCACGTGCAGTACAGTGCGAGTTCGGGAGACAGTAAGCATTTGAATAAGGCCTTTAACCGAACATATCAATCAATCAATCATTCGCATTTTGAACGTTAAAAAATGTGGTGATATTCAGTTGTGGTGATATTCTGGCTGAATGTGCATTCCATCTGAGCGCGGTTGAGATGGACTTTCCGATTCAGTCATCGAAAGGCAGTGATAATATGCGACAGTACCCTTACCTACCGCCACATCTTTTGCAGTATGTCGAATGGGGCAGAGTTCGTTGATTTGTCTTGTTTTTTGTTGTTTCCCATTGAGAACATTGCTCAAATGAGTGCTTTTGAAACAGAAAAGTAGAAATATCTTAAGGTTAATCAGTGAACAGTTAACAGATATGACAGCAATAATAACAGTCTGTTCATGATAGCGGGTGATTTGGTTTGATAGTTTTATTGCCGAGTAAGAAATATGTACAAGTGAGAGTAGCATTATATGATGAAAGATACCTTGTTATATATGTGCACATAAATTTCAATCCTTCTGAAATCAGTAGATAATTGAGCGAATGAAGAAAAATTAACGAAAGTCAACGAAGACCGAGTTTTGATAATTTTGCTAGACGTAGGCGTTTACGACGCTTTCAGTAGCATTATATGATCGAGGATACCTTATTATATTCGTATACATATCACATATTACATATAATCATAAGTTTGAATTCTCTTTGTGAAGTTATCGAATATGTGTATGTGGTTGAAAATTTTTGGTTCACGACTAAATTTCAGTTTGAGTGAACATTGCAGATTGGGATGAATCATTTTGAAATGTTTTTTCTTAAAAATGTGGTTTCAGATGTTGTTCAATCGAACTTACACGGCAACACAAGCGTTCGAGATCAATATTCGATGGTTTATGGCAAATGGTCAAACAATCGCTGAAATCACCAGGCATTTATGTACGAAAGCCACCAATTTATCATTCCACATGTTCCCAATTCCAGAAGATCCATTCGCACACGCTATGAATCCACAGTCGCCTCCACTC